GTTAAATAATTTTAAAAATATATGGGGGGAGAAAAAATGGATAAAAAATTTTGAAAAATCCGGAAAATAAAAGATATAATCTTTTCATCAGCTCACACGATTATATCCGGAAAAAAGAGTGCTTTCTAATATTGCATTATTTTTATTTCCCCCCTTTTTCATTGTTCTGTAATTTTTCCCTTGTTTTCTCTACATTTTGAACTTATTTTATGAGTTCTATTTACTTGCAGGTTATGCGCAATAAATAAAACTTATTTTTTTTCTTAATATTCTTCGCGTTCTTTTGTTTTTATTTATTATGCTACATATATATATATATTTCTGATGCTCTAATTGCAAGTAAAAATATATTTCATTATTTTTTTATCATAAAAAATAGATTAATAGTTGTTCCTGTTAATCTGTTATATATCTGAATTACATTTGAACTAAAATATCCTAAAACAGTAGTTAAATTTTTTTTTTTCATTCATATTCACAAATTTATCAATATAACTGATCAATAATTTATCAATAGCTGATTTTGTAAAATGTTTTGTAAATGTATTTCAATGAGGAATAATTGTATCTCTTAGATCTAAATAAGTGCAAATTTGAAAAATTATTGTTTGGTAGATTTCACCTTTTACCGCAGAAAAAAGATAGTGGTGTTTCATTCTGTATTTCATAACCATAAACTATCAAAATGCTAATTACGATATTTTTTCACTTATTTTGACCTAAATTAATGAAAAATGTGCTTAAAAAATTTCTGCGTCAAAAAGTTAAGATGTCAAATCATTTTTAAAAGAAAATGAAAAAAACTGAGACAATTGAGCAAACACTGCAATCAAGTTTTATGCCTTGGTATAAGTCAGCCCCACGTCAGCCTTGCACTTTAAAAAAGAATAAAATGCAATTTACATGTTTTTAACACATAAATATCTGTTATTAAAGCACAGAAAACAGTATTACTTAAAGAATTTTTTTAAAAACATAACCATGAAGTTTAAATGAAAAACAGAAATAAATTGTTCCGACTGTTGAAGATATTAACCAAAAATATTTTCACATTTTGCACAAACACTATAATGAAAGGCAATTAGCAATTATAAAATTTTGTGAAAACTTCTGTTTTATCCTCACCCTACTTTCAAAATCACCAATTACTATGATTCTCTTATTTTGAATTCCTTTTTTGTCCTGTTCTACACATTAACAATAAAATTAGTACATTTTTGTTACAATTTACAATATCAATACACGCAAATAAACAAAATATGCATCATATTTTATACTACTAAATATAAATTTTTTGCTAAATTTCTGAAACAAATTTAATAAGTTAAATATATTGAATAAATAGTTGGTAAATATATTTTATTTGTCCATTTAAAAATCAATCACTTACTTTTGAACCATTAGATTTTTCTTCAATGATTCTTCGAACCAGGTTTATAATAAATATCAAATAGCCAGCACAGACACAAGCTGGTACTAAAATGACTATGTTGAATTTATGTCGAGTATCTTGATGCTCAGGATAAGGGAATCTTTGCATACTGACCTAAATTTTTAAAAAAAAATTTTTGAATATTTATTCATAAGCAAATCATTATCAACAACTATAATTATTACCTTATTAAATCATTACAGACAAATCTCATTAATTCAAACCTCTGCTCAGGGTTTATGTTAGATTCATTTTTAGCCAATATGCTAAAATTTTATATAAAAATGCTAAAATAAATCTAAATATCTTTGCATTTTTACTGAAGTATTTAAACAGTATATTAACACCTTTCTTAAAATTCCTACTATTGATTCTATCTATACAGCTATAGGGAAATATTTATTAAGCAAGAGAAAATTCTGTGTCATGAACAAGCATTGAAATGCATTTAGCGAATATAATATATATATATAACTTTGAGAACTGCAAGAAATCTTGTTATTAAGTAAAATTTTAAATTTGTTTAATAAAAAAATTAAAGTAAAAATAGAATCTAAAATTCTTATATACAATTTTCGAGTAATATTTGTGATAAATATATAAAAAAAATGAATAGTTGTTAATGAGTTGTGTGATACAATTAAAGACACTAGAAATAATATATTGCTCGTATTTTACAACAATAAAAATCAAATAATTGATTAAAAAAATAACCATTTTTTGCATACAGATTAGAAAAAAGCGCATTGGTTTTGTTAGCTTTTGTGTAATCTATGGTATCAAAAGAAGAGAAATTATTTTTTAAAAAAATTGTGTATGATTGTAGCAGTTAGAAATCTATCTTTAATTTCTAAATACTTATTCTCACACTTGTTAAATATTTTTACAGGGGTAGGCTCAATTCATATTTATTAACAAAAAATGTAAATGAAAATTAATTCTCCAACAATTAAACCAAAATATACCAAACCTGATAATCTAACTTTTTTCCAGTATCATTCATTTTTTGTTGAATGAAAGTTTCTTCAACAGCAGTCTGCCATGCAAGAAAGATAGAATCTTGATACTCTGAAAATAATTATTCAAGTTAAAAGTATTAATTCAACAGACATACAATGAGAATTTAATGTTACACAGTAAAAATCAGAGAAAAACAAATTTATGCAAAAAATCTTAAGAAATCAGAAGAAAAAAACATAAATTACTGTGGTTTCTCAGTTAAATAATTTTAAAAATATATATAAATAGTTTATCAACAAAAAACTACCAAAAACCATTTCTTTGCAACAAAATTTTATTAATTTTCATTATAATTTGAATTCTAGTACTATTTGCTATTAACAGTAGAAAAAATAAAACTTTTTTTAAATTATGGCTTCAATTTAAATTACAATCATAAAATTAGACTTGCATTTGCTTTCAGATGCATTCCATGCCAAAAGAACAGAAAATAGTAGTACAACAATAAATCTTAATATTTGCAATTTTAAAAAAAAAAGTATGATAATATGCAGATTTGAAAGCTTTTAACTTTCACCTCAACTATAAGTTCAAAATTGTAAGCACCTTTAGAATTAATTCATCCACATATTTTAATAAAAATTTGATACTTCAAAACAATTACAACATGTTAGACAGTTATTAAATTTTATTAACTTTTGTTATTTATTAGAACTTTTGTATTATTTGTTGCAAAATAATTGAAAATAATAGGTTTTCTAATTATGATTCAAATAATGATTTCAATTTCTACTAGCATGAAACTTTACCAATATTTACTTGTCATACCAACCGTACATTGTTAGGTCAAAAAAAATAAAATACTCATTCTAAATTATAATATTTGCAACACAAAATAAGTAAAGTTTACATACTAAAAAAAGAGCAACTTAACTTTTGATCTTGGCACTGTATTATCAAATACTAAAATGCAATCTTAATGATTTAAGGGCCTAAACCTAAATATACGAATTAACTTGTGTATACCTTTTTTTAAGTTACGAATTAGACGGGGGGGAAAAGACATATTTTCTCTGAAGAAAATCTTTTTTGATAAATTTGGTATCTTGACCCTCAAAATATGAAGGGTAACCACAATTTGATCTGGAAAATATGAAGGTTAAAGTTTTAAATGTTAAAATGGTTAAAGTTTTGGCCAATTAATGCTAATATCCCTTTTTTTTTCAAACTGAATAGAATCAAAGAGGTGAAATTTTCATATTTTTGTGAGATATTTGATCGATTTTTAATAAATTTTCGATTTGTCTTTAAAAATTACACAAGTTAAAAATAATCTAAAAAATTTACAAATCTTAGAATTCAAAATATTTTTGACCATCATTAAAATAAACAATAAAAAGTAATAAATAGTAATAAAAATTTATAATTTAATAATCTTTAAAATAATATTTTTGGATAAACAAATTTTAAACTTATGGACAAAAAATATTTGACTTTCTAAATAGTTCCAAAGATATAGTGAAATACCTAAAAACAGATATTAACGCTAGGGCGATAAAAGTTTCAACTGCTCTCTGGATTTAACTTTTAGGACCCAGAAGTTCCGAATTCCGGTCATGCCTTGCATTTTGAGAATCAAGAATCCAAGTTAGTCAGAAAAAAAGCATATTTAAATTGAAAAAATACAATTTTGTCTCTGAGTTGGTAACTAAAGACGTTGTCTGCACAAATATTTCAATATATTTAGGGGTTAGTGTCAAGAGTCATTCAGATTTCAGCTTAATATGTGAAAATCCAATTATTAGATAAAAAGTACAAAGATGTTCCGTTTTTTAATTTGCACTGTATAATTGCACAGTGATCTTGAACTCTTCAACTATAAATCAAACATTTCTAAACACCTTTTGGATTTTATGCCCTATCAAATTTTCTTAAAATATTGATATGGCAAGGTATTTTGTTTACAAAAAAAAAATTTTAAAATCAAAATAAAGTTAGAAATTCTATTTTTAAACAGATATTTTAATTAATTTTATTCAGCACTTTTTATTTATAATTTTCACTATCAGTAATAAATTAATCAAAATTTTTGCAAATATTTTTTACTTTAAAATAATTATAATAGCATAGAAATAATAAATTTAAAATAACCAATGAATAAGCAATATTAATTGCTCTTTTATATATTTACTTTTCATTCATAGACATCTCACACCTAAAGAACAAAAAGTTCTTAGGTTATTTTATAAATTACAAATCTGTTATAAAATAAGGTACACGGCCATGAAGATTTGGAAATCGTTAGTTCAGGAGACTTTAACTAATGGTTTAAATTTTTTATGATCCTTCAGCTTAATGCTGAATCAAATTTTAATTAATGACAATACATTAGCAATAAATATATATACCTGCATATATCTTCACACTTAAGTTAGAAATTAAGTTCTTAAGTAGACACTTTAATAAATTTTATCCATAAAGCATAACCTCCAGTATTTTCAATATTTTAACAAATAATTTAACATGTTTAAGAGTATTTTTTTTACATAAAATAATAATGTCTCTTAGACAAACAATGAAAAAGCAATTAAATTGATGTTTATATTTACTTGTTTCAATGTGAGGACCATTTACTCGATACTTCAGATCGTTATTGAAGGTACTCTCAAAATCCTTGAAACCATACCTTATTTTATAGTCAAGAGAGTCTGGAAATTGCTTCAGATCAAGTGCAAAATTGTTGAAAACAGTTCCTATCAAACTGATTTGTTTATTGACGCTTCGTTTATACAGACAATATGATTCTAAATCTTTCTCAGAATTCTCAGAATGGAGAGCTAAAAATAAATTTTGTTTAAATAATTATTAAAAATAATTTTGAAAAATATTTAACAAAAACATCATTACAGCCCAATACATTTTTTTTAAATATAGAATAATTTTCTGATCACATGTAATAATTCTAACCTTCTAAATGATCAGTTTAAAAATGCCTGGTGCAAACAAGTGGTCGTTTCTTCAAATAGGGAATGATTACACTTGATTTATGTTTATGAAGAGCTTTTTTTTTATTTTATTACTTATTAGAACACCCAACTGAAACCTATCACTCCAATACAGCATTAAAGTTAAAAATTTTACTTCATTTCTCAGAAAAGCACTTTAAAAAGCATTAAATGTTTATGTGATATCAAAAAAAATGCTTGAAGTGGAGAGGCATGGCATTTGATAGCAGAGGATTTAAAGAAATCATTAAACCCCTTTTTTATATTACTAAACAAATAAACTTAAAACATCTTGTAATCCTTTTGAATGAAAAACATAAGAAGTATCACCTTTTAGATTTTTATTCTCAATGATCATGATGGTGTATAGTACTCATAAGAAAAGAAGATAAAAGATATGGCATCATTTGCAAAAATCTATGCATTCATTATGCTTAAAAAGATAATATGCTTGTAAAATAGATAAATGATATAATGTATAGAAATCAATACCTTTCTCTATGTTTAAATGGATATAATGTACGTAAAATCGATTAAGGATGTAATGTACAAAAATCTATGCATTCATTATGCTTGAAAGGATGTAATGTTTGTAAAAAAGATACAGGATATAATGTTCAAAAGGACAATAAATGAAGCATTCAAAAACTTAACTTGTTTACTCTTCTTTTTAAATGTCAGTCCCCTTGATGTAGCGACATGCAGAATTCTCATATTTTCTGAGGTAGTTCTTGTTCATACATTACAGTTAATTTATAAATTCTAACAAGCAAAAAATGTTTCTTTAATTATTTAAAATATTTTTTCTTAACCTTACCAGTTAATAATTCAAATATTGTTCAAGTTCTTTAGATATTTTTATCAAATATGGGCAAAGTATTCAAATGTATCTCATTCTAGCATTCTTAACATAAAAAGCTGCACACTGTCATAATGTAATTGCATTAATAATGATATTAATACATAGTACTAATGATTACTAACTACATTTTTGAGAATTTCTATCTGCTAGGCACAAGTCTCACTAAACACAACAAATAAATCAAATATTTTTTATATTACAATCTGGCAACATGTTAAGAGCCTAAAATGTTATTGTCTTTTCTTTTAACCTTCATGATGTAGCAATGATGAAACAAAAAATTCATGTATAGGCTGCTTATAAGACATAGATCTATAAAGAACTTATTATTACTTAAAAGGTTTAGCTGCTAGCTTATTTCTTTCTTTCAACAGGATGGATGAAAATAATTAAAATTAACTGCACTACTATAATGTGCATCCTTTGAGGACTCAACATAACACGCATTTGAGGATTTAAATTTTTTTTATAAGGCTACAATGATTTTTCCATAACTGTACATAACTGCTAAATAAAAAACTTTAAATAATGATTTTTCTTCTTACTTTTTTTAAAGAAATAACGAATAACATGCCTTAGAAATACTGTTACATGGTGTAAATTTTTTAAATTTGAGTTAAAACTAAACTGCTAAGTTTGTACTGGCTTTAACTAAGTTTAAGCTATAACTTTTAGAATAATTTTTATAACAGTGGGATTACATTTGTTATTAAACTATTGTAAAAGTTTCGTTCTGAGAATGCATTAATGAATATTATTATTAAGGATCAGTGCACTTGCAAGTGCTAATAAAATTTTTTTAATTGTTTAAAATACTTTATGAGTCAAAACCTAATTTAAATTTCGCTAAATACATCTACAAAATAACACCTATAACACCCAAAATAATTTCAGCTAAAATAATTCAAATTAAATTTTAAATTAAAAAAAATACTTAGCAATTTTAATAAAATGGTGCAACTAAAAATGTTCTCGCACTTGCTTTCCTCTTTTTGTTTTTAATTCAAAGCATAAACACTGATTATTTTAGAAATTTTAACTTTGAAGCCTTCTTTATGAACACAAATGATCTTGAATGATGTCATCAAAAAAAAATTTTATATTTTAATCCAGACATTTGTTTAACTCATTGCAAATCTTTAGTAATTCATAGTTCTTGACTATTTTTATATTTTATACTTAAATGTGAAAAATGTTTACACCATTAAAATTATGCTTACAAACAATAAATGAAAATATATTATCAAAAATTGAACTTACTTATATTTCCAGAGTAATTAGCATTAACAGTAAATCTTTCAACGACACTTTTCATAAAGTTATCAATAACATCATTTGAAGGAGCATAAACAAGCTCTAAAGTGTAATTTTTAATTTGTTTAGATTTATATGGAGAGAAGGGTGAGTAGAACGTAGCATTAACATGTCTCGATTTGGGCATTTCTTCCCAATCATAATTTTGAGAACTTGGTGAAGATGTTTCTGATAGAATTATAGGAAGAATGCATGCTAATAAAACAGGAATAACAAGTTCAAATACTGTATAAATGTAATGGCGTTTTCGCAGCAACAGTCCTTTATACAATAATATTACAAACTGATGAAAACCGTTGATTTTCCCCATTTTCAAAAAATTTTTCTCTGAAAAATAAAACAAAGGTAAAGTATAATAAATATAATAAGAAGGTATTTTTATTAAAATCATTAATCTTAGAGGAGAAAGAACTACTTAGTAATTTTTAAAAGAAAGAAAACTTAAAACAGTTTATACTATTTTAGTGACATTAATAAAACAAATTTATAATTTATTCCAGTTTAGAAAAGAATTATTCTGTAGTCACAAAATAAGAAAAAAGCAGAAATATTTGAAAATTTTAATAGTACAAAAATAAGTTTAATTTTTTAACAAGAGTAAAGTTATTGCAATTTAAAATCCAAAACATTAAAAGCTTATGTTAACCAAAATAGTTTTATTAATTTTGAATAATTCAAAATTTATATGCAATTTCGAGACTCAATAAAAAAGTAATCAACGAATTACCTAAAGATTTTGATAAAATCTATATTTGGGTCAATATCTATTGCACAGAATTGTTTTTATTTATTTATTTATTTTGTATAATTTCAATCAAATTCCAGAAAACAAGCATTTTTCAACTTTGTTAAAATAACATTATAATATTAATATTTAATTTTAAATTTGCTTCTGTAGCAGCATTTTTAATATTTTGTATAACTTTAAAATAGTATGCCCTATTTACATCATCAAATTGTTATTTAGACAAAACAATTAAAAAATTATTAAATTTAAAAAAATATGGAAAAAGTACACTTGTAAGAAATAGGTTTTTCATACCCAAGTGGAAAACTACTTTTTAATAAGAATCAAACATTAAAACAGTTTGTAATTGTAATCTAGTTGAAATAATAGTTTTGATATACAAGCTATTTAACACATAATTGGGAAGAACAATAAATTCAATTAATTTCTTAAGAAACCAACAAAAAAAATTTTGTTTTGTTTCTCTTAATGTCTTGCATGAAGAATTATAGTAAAATTTAATTTTATAAACACCATTTAATTAAAAACCACAGCTACAAATAACATAAAAGCTACTAACTTTATAATCAAATACTTAATACCTTTAAGTATAAATACTCAGAAAACTCTTAGATAATATGCAAAAGGCATTTCTAACTAGATATTTTTAACACATATTTTATTTTTACATACCTAATCATAAAATCAATAATTATAATCAATGAAATATAACTAAAACATTTTAAAGAAGAAATTTTCATCTAACAATAACTTAATTTCTATTTATAAATTTAAGAATTATATTTAATTTTAAAAAAATGTTTGATAAAGCTTTACAGCCTTTCTAATATTCTGAACTTAAAGTTATGAAAAAGTAAGCATTTTAAAGCTCATATTTTATTATAGAATATTTATTTTTAAAAAAGAAAAATTAAAAATTTTCAACTGCATAACTTGAAATTGTGAAGGATGAGTTACTTCCTTTTTCACATTGTCATAGCTTTAAAGTATCGTGCTTAAGAATTAGAAAATTAATGTTATGGTAAAAAATCATTCTGTATTACTTTAATTATTTGTTATATTATTATTTATTATATCATTATTTATTATAAACAAAATTAATAACTGAAATATTTAAAGAAAATACATTAATATTAAAAAAAAATGATTGAAAATAAATTTTTAATAAGAATTAAACCAGTTGAGAAAAGACTTAAAGCATTTTTTATATGTAGTTATATTTTAAAACAGGATAGTTCAAACATTAAAAATATTACAAAAACACATAATTCATAAATAAATGAACATATTTTTTAAAAAACAATATAACAAACTAAAATCCACAAAAAAATTAATGTAGTATAATTTTTAAATTCTTTTTAAAACTGCAAAAAATTATAGGAAACTAATTTTTTTAAGAAAAAAAATAAATGTGAAAAATGTTCAACTGTCTTGTACAATATTAAATTTCATTTGCTTTAATTTAAACTATTCTTTTAAGATTTAGCACTAAATAATTGCATTGGTCATTTTTAGTTTCTTCCATTTCACCCAGTTTTTCCACTTTCTTCCACTGTTCTGGAAGAAATAGGTTATATCCAGACAAAATGTGAACTCCTAACAATAAAACTCCTTTAGCTCATATAAAAGATTTAACATGATAGTTAAAAAACTAATCATGTTAACTTCAAATTAATTACCATGGGCATTGAAACTACACATTAAAAAGCAAAAATTGAGGAACACCAAGGTTATGAAATCATTAAAAATTAACAACATACCATTTTGGTAATTGAAAAAAATATCGAAAATATCATGGAAGATAAACAATAAACATAATCATCGACTGAAAGAACATTAAAAATTAACAAGTCTATTAGCTAAATGATAATAGAATTGATAATGAGAAACACCACACCTAATTCAGGCAGATAGGAAAAAGAAATTACATACAGTGCAAAAATGTAAATTAATGATTCTAATAAAAGAGAAATCACTTTCTGAATAAGTTTTCCTATCATTTGCTTATAATTTATCTAATTATTATCCATTTAATGTTGCTTAGTGATAATGTGCAAAATATTTACTTGTTATACAAATATTCTTAAGTGTTACCTCACAAATAAACTAAGTCATGAAACATCCTTCTTCATTCTAATGCTGAGTTTGAGTGTTAGGAAATTGTCATAGTGTCGTCAGAAAAAGATAGTTACATAAAATGCAAGGAAAGATGGATTTTTAAAAAATTTTCTGATAAAAACTAAATTTTATTCAGTTGTATTTCTGTTTAATAGTCATGCTATTTTAATTTCAGTTATTTTATTACACTACTCTCATTAGCAACTAAGATAAAATACTAAATATTATACTTCAACAGATTTTCAACCCTCTATTGATTGATTGATTTCCTGAACACAACTAATTTTTTATGGTAAAGGTATGAAGAATTTTCAAGAAATTATTTCCATAATTATGATGAAAAAAAACTCTATAATCATATTAGCAACATAATAATTTAATATGTCACACAAATAAATTTAATATCAAAATTAAAAAGACTTGCATTTTAAGAAAATAATAGCTAATTCATATTTTTAACTATATGATATACACAGTTCAGTCACATTAATGTGACCACCTGTCAAAAGCCTCAATAACCACATTTGGCTGAGCGGACCGCTACGAAACGTGCAGGAAGAATGTCAATTAGGTTTCTGAAAGTGGTCACTGGGATGTTGAGCCATGCCGACTCCAGTGCCGTGGCCAGCTGCGCTAGATTACGCGGTTGAGGATCTATGGACCGAACAACCCGATCGAGGTGGTCCCACAGATTCTCGATTGGGTTCAAATCCGGTGAGTTTGCTGGCCAGGGGAGNACTTCAAAAAGTCAACAATGAATCCATGTTATAGGTAAATCATTTTTGTTATACAAAAACATCATATTGTCTTCTTAACACCAAAAGCCTATTTTTAAAAAGACAAATCAATTTTTAAAAACCTAAAAGTGAGAATAATAAAATATCATCTATCAGATTAAACTAAATAAATGACAATTAAACACCTAACATTAAACTAAATATTGGTTAACTTTGTTTCATGCCGAAGAAATTTTTTTTCATTCATTCAAATTGCTGATTTTATTAGAAGTTAAGTATTAAGTAATGTATTCAATATAAACATAACAAACAGGACATACTTAACAATGGAGTCTTTAATGAGTCATCTGTTTCCGAATCAGAACCTGAATTAAAATACACATTAAATCAATTATAAGAAAAAACTTCATTTAGATATAATTTTCAAACTTTATTACAGTAAACTTATTAGTAAATAAAATAAACTGAAAAAGAAAACTAATTTTCCTGGCAATCATAGTCTATTTCTAAACGAATTTAAAAATTGACAAAAGTTCTTATTATCTTTTTAATCTTCTTATCTGCGATTCATCCTAACCTGCTCCTAAAAGTAAAATTGTCCTGTAAGAAATTCTACTACTCATCTCATAAATCTTTCTTACAAGAAGACTAAGAATATTTCCATAATGAAATCTTGGGGTGACATTATTTTAATAGTCCTTTTAACTTCTTCTAAAGCCAACAGCTACCAAGATGGGTGTATACTAAGAAATAAAAATTACTGATTTCTCCAGAAAGATAGTATTAAATTATATTAGTAATTACATTATCAATTTTTCAGATATGCCCTATTCTTAAAGATAAAATATAATACAAAACACTAAAATATGCCCTTAGAGTTGAAAATAAACAATTTTTTTTAATAAAAATAAAAATTATTAAAGACCAATTGTTTTGGATAAAAAATATCAGATTTTAGTCCCTCAAACATAAATTTATTCCTTTTCCTTGCCTTTTTTGTTATTTTAGCCAAATTTCCCGATTTTTCAAAATGGATAAGATTTCTAACTTTTTCCTGTTTTGCAGCCCCCCTCAATCCCCTGGAATGTGTAGCAAAATTGGATGTCTACGGTGCGAAAAGAAAAAACAGAGCACAAGCAGATTTAGTTGGGGCAAAACATTAAATACATGTATAAAAAAATTCTTTTTCTTTATTAATAGTTGAAAGAGTTAATAAGATTATTTCTGAGTATCGAATTACATCATTGCTTTTCCTTCCTACACAAATATTTTATGAGTAAAATTAAAAGTCTTGAATGCTAAAATAACTCTTTTCATGTTCAGAAACTCTTTGTTACAATTATCAATTGATAAAATAATTTTAAATGTGAATATTAATCGATGGATAAAGAGATGGAAAACACACATTTTAAAAAGGAACCCACTTTAAGCAAAAGACTGGACCCACTTTGAAAATCCTTAGTGTCTAAAGCTAAAGTCTAGCATAATCAATATGTTATTGAAAATTTTGAATTATGTAACAAAAAATTCTTGTAACACTTCTGTTTCTCAGCTGCCATTTAATATTGATTTGTCAAAACTACTTTATAAAATAAAAATCCCATCCAAGTTAATTTTTTTTTCCTATTTATAATAATCTATTTTCCTTTATCTTAAGCATTTTCACCTTTAGGTTTGACAGTTTTAATTTTTTAAATTGCATGTGAGACTTGCATTAGTACATGGTAGCAATATTAAGTAATTTTTCCTATAGTTAAAAAATAAAAACACAAATGCATACAACATGCTTAATCAAAGAGTACAATTGATTTTTAAAATTGATTTTAACACAACAAATTTTATTACAAAGCAAAAATTTGTCTAAGTATGTTATCAATGATGAAATTAACATTTTAATCTTAATATATTATAATAATTATAAAATATTTACTCATGAAAATCACTTCTTGATTTGTACCATTTGTGAAAGAACCTATCTACATAAAAATTTTTAAAATTAAAACAATTTCAATTCAAATGCTTATTATTATAAATGAATATTTAAAAATTATTCTTTCTACTACTTGCATGTGCACATTGCCTTGTGATTTTTATTTAAAAAAAATAAAAATAATCTTATTTTTAATTTAAATAGGATTTTTTTATTTTTAAAAAAATACTGTCAGAAATTTAGTTTATATTTGGTTAAATTTTATAAATATAATTAAAAATAAAAAAATCATTAAAAATAAATCATAACAATTTCTAACCATATTGCATTAAAAACTATTTTATAGAAATACATTATGCACATAAATCCCTGATTAAAATGTATAGAAAATGGAAAAGAAGAACAGTAGGGAACCGATTATCCGGAATGGTCGGGACCATCGCTATTCCGGATAACTGATTTTTCTGGTTTTCTGAATCGCTACAAAAAGCCGTTTTTTTTATTGTTAAACCCAACTAAAAAAAAAATCTTTGGAAATAATCTTAAAAATAAGAAAAAACGATGAAGTAATACACTAGTAATGATTATTTCCAAAATGATGGTAAGGTAAACATCTTTAAAAAAAGAAAGAAAAATCGGAAAATCTTATGAGGAAAGAAAAAAAAAATTTTTTTAAATGGCGAGAAAATATATTGAATTTCGTTCCGGTTTTTTGGTTTTCCATGTTTTCTGACTTCCGGATAACGGGTTCTATACCGTATATCTATATTAACAACTGAAAAATTAATGCGAACAAAAAAATTTATCATTTATTTAAAAAAAAAATTAGAAGGCAAAATAAATCGTGTTGCTTTATACCCAACCTAAACTGTAATTTTACAAAATAATTTTGATAAAAATAATGCATAAACTTAACTATTTATTAAGAAGAAGAAGAAAAAAAAAAAGAATCTGAATTTATTTTTAAACAGCTTTCTATGCCTTATTAGTATCATGCCTGATTAGCATTTTCTTTTAATACTATATCTACTTTAAGATTCAAAAAAATATTTACAATATCAAAATAAAATGTGGTTTTGGAATTAAACGTCAAATAACATGATGGTTTTGGCGATTTCCAAAACCATTATGTTATTTGACGAAAATAGTTCACTTTTAAGAATTATTTTTTACAAATATATAAATATAATTATAAAAAAACTATATTAAATTATTTCTTTGTACCTTCTTAGTTAGCCTTCTGAAAAAAAAAACATAAAAAGTTATATCAAATCAAGAGTACAGTAATTTACACACAAAGTATTAATGTAATTTCGTGAAATGGAAACTTATTAACACAGCAATAGATAGTGAATTTTAATACTATGGAAATCAATACAAACTTTTAACCTTTAAACAACCTTACATTAAAATGCTTTATAAATTTTTTAATTCATCTTTTCTTTTCAAAAATAAATTATTTGCTTCAGACCAATACCTTCAAAAATAAATAGTTTACAATATATGTATTGAAAAAACTAAACACCTTAAATTGGTATTTGAAGAAAAGCATAGAAAAAAATGTTTTTAAATTCAATCTGGTTCTTAGCAAGAAGATTCAGATTCAAATTTCTTGATGTGTCAATACGATGCCATTTATTTTTATTATTATTACTAGATTATATTTAAACTATTGATTCCAAATTTTGAAGTTGAAATAAAAAGATAATTTAGCAGGAGTTAAAAGGAAACAGTTAAAAATTTATTTTACAAAAAAAATAATATTTTTTCTCAAATTTCTTTTGAAAAATTGTTTTCTTTTCTTTAGATCATTGCCTTTTAAAAAAACAGTTTGTTTAAATCAGGGTTGGCAAGATTTTGCCGCAGGTGGAAAAAACCATGGTAAATACCGGTAAAAACCGTCCTGGCAAAAACAGGTTTTTGCCAAGCAAATTGGCAAAAAAAGTGGCAAAAACCTATATTCTCCAAGATGAGAGNTAAAACTACACGTTAAAAAGCAAAAATTGAGGAACACCAAGGTTATGAAATCATTAAAAATTAACAACATACCATTTTGGTAATTGAAAAAAATATCGAAAATATCATGGAAGATAAACAATAAACATAATCATCGACTGAAAGAACATTAAAAATTAACAAGTCTATTAGCTAAATGATAATAGAATTGATAATGAGAAACACCACACCTAATTCAGGCAGATAGGAAAAAGAAATTACATACAGTGCAAAAATGTAAATTAATGATTCTAATAAAAGAGAAATCACTTTCTGAATAAGTTTTCCTATCATTTGCTTATAATTTATCTAATTATTATCCATTTAATGTTGCTTAGTGATAATGTGCAAAATATTTACTTGTTATACAAATATTCTTAAGTGTTACCTCACAAATAAACTAAGTCATGAAACATCCTTCTTCATTCTAATGCTGAGTTTGAGTGTTAGGAAATTGTCATAGTGTCGTCAGAAAAAGATAGTTACATAAAATGCAAGGAAAGATGGATTTTTAAAAAATTTTCTGATAAAAACTAAATTTTATTCAGTTGTATTTCTGTTTAATAGTCATGCTATTTTAATTTCAGTTATTTTATTACACTACTCTCATTAGCAACTAAGATAAAATACTAAATATTATACTTCAACAGATTTTCAACCCTCTATTGATTGATTGATTTCCTGAACACAACTAATTTTTTATGGTAAAGGTATGAAGAATTTTCAAGAAATTATTTCCATAATTATGATGAAAAAAAACTCTATAATCATATTAGCAATATAATAATTTAATATGTCACACAAATTATTGGATAAATATAAATTTAATATCAAAATTAAAAAGACTTGCATTTTAAGAAAATAATAGCTAATTCATATTTTTAACTTTTTGCAAGATACATAAAATAATAAATAGAAATTAAAGCAAAAACTTTTGTAAAAGATGAAATCTTTATCTAACTAAATCTTTTAAAAATCGTAGATGTACTATAATTTTTTTCAATCTTAAAGTTACAGTACAAACAATATCATAGTTATTATCTATTAATATCAATTGTTATTTCAATTTTTGACATTTCAGTAATGAGGTGATTTCTCTTCAGAAATTATATTGCCTAAAATAATTTTACATAAAATTAAAGATTGCTTTTTTTTTAAAAAATACTCAATACTTTTTGCTTACATATTCATAAATATTTACATATAATAATTATTAATAACATATATAAAAATTGGAACTTTATTTTATATTCCAGATATATATAAACTGAAATAACAATACATTTTTAAATAAAAATTACGTCTTTCACAAAGTTTTAACTATGGTGTATTGATTTTAATTCCATATTATGAAACAGCAGACATCATTTTATAATTTTTTTTATCATCAGCTAAAACTATAGATTTTTGATGGTTTATATCAGATTTTGACTTCAAAAAGTCAACAATGAATCCATGTTATAGGTAAATCATTTTTGTTATACAAAAACATCATATTGTCTTTTTAACACCAAAAGCCTATTTTTAAAAAGGCAAATCAATTTTTAAAAACCTAAAAGTGAGAATAATAAAATATCATCTATCAGATTAAACTAAATAAATGACAATTAAACACCCAACATTAAACTAAATATTGGTTAACTTTGTTTCATGCCGAAGAAAATTTTTTTCATTCATTCAAATTGTTGATTTTATTAGAAGTTAAGTATTAAGTAATGTATTCAATATAAACATAACAAACAAGACATACTTAACAATGGAGTCTTTAATGAGTCATCTGTTTCCGAATCAGAACCTGAATTAAAATACACATTAAATCAATTATAAGAAAAAACTTCATTTAGATATAATTTTCAAACTTTATTACAGTAAACTTATTAGTAAATAAAATAAACTGAAAAAGAAAACTAATTTTCCTGGCAATCATAGTCTATTTCTAAACGAATTTAAAAATTGACAAAAGTTCTTATTATCTTTTTAATCTTCTTATCTGCGATTCATCCTAACCTGCTTCTAAAAGTAAAATTGTCTTGTAAGAAAATCTACTACTCATCTCATAAATCTTTCTTAAAAGAAGACTAAGAATATTTCCATAATGAAATCTTGGGGTGACATTATTTTAATAGTCTTTTTAACTTTTCTAAAGCCAACAGCTGCCAAGATGGCTGCATACTAAGAAATAAAAATTACTGATTTCTCCAGAAAGATAGTATTAAATTATATTAGTAATTACATTATCGATTTTTCAGATATGCCCTATTCTTAAAGATAAAATGTAATACAAAACACTAAAATATGCCCTTGGAGTTGAAAATAAACAGCTTTTTCTTTTATAAAAATAAAAATTATTAAAGAACAATTGTTTTGGATAAAAAAATATCAGATTTTAGTGCCTCAAACATAAATTTATTCCTTTTCCTTGCCTTTTTAGTTATTTTAGCCAAATTCCCTGATTTTTCAAAATTGATAAGATTTCTGACTTTTCTCTGTTTTGCAGCCACCCTGAATCCCCTGGAACGTGTAACGAAAATGGAATGTGTCTGCAGGGCGAAAAGAAAAAACAGAGCACCAGCAGATTTAGGTGGAGCAAACATTAAATATATGCATAAAAAAATTCTTTTTCTTTATTAATAGTTGAAGGAGTTAATCAGACTAATTTCAATTATCAAATTACATCATTGCTTTTCTTTCCTACACAAATGTTTAATCAGTAAAATTAAAAGTCTTCAATGTTAAAATAACTCTTTTCGTATTTAGAAACTCTTCCTTACAACTATCAATTGATAAAATAATTTTGAATGTGAATATTAATTGATGGATAAAGCGTTGGAAAACACACATTTTAAATAGGAACCCACTTTGAGAATCCATAGTGTCTAAATTCTAGCAGAATCAATATGTTATTGACAATTTTAAATTATATAACAAAAATTTTTTGTTAAACTTCTGTTTCTCAGCTGCCATTTAATATTAATTTGTCAAAACTACTTTAGAAAATAAAAATCACATCCAAGTTAATTTTTTTTCCTACTTATAATAATCCATTTTCTTTTATCTTAAGCATTTTCACCTTTAGGTTTGACAGCTTTAATTTCTTTAATTGCATGTGAGACTTACATTAGCATATGGTAGCAATATTAAGTAATTTTTCCTATAGTTAAGAAATGAAAACTCAAATGCATACAACATGTTTAATCAAAGAGTACAATTGATTCTTAAAAATGATTTAACACAAAAAATTTTATTACAAAGCAAAAATTTGTCTAGGTATGTTATCAATGATGAAATTATCATTTCAATCTTAATATATTATAATAATTATAAAATATTTACTCATGAAAATCACTTCTTGATTTGTACCATTTGTGAAAGAACCTATCTATATAAAAGTATTTTAAAATTAAAACAATTTTAATTCAAATGCTTATTATTATAAATGAAAATTAAAATATTATTCTTTCTACTACTTGTATGTGCACCCTGCTTTGTGATTTTTATTTTAAAAAAATAAAAATAATCTTATTTTTAATTTAAATAGGATTATTTTTATTTTTAAAAAATACTGTAAGAAATTTAGTTTACATTCGGTTAAATTTTATAAATATAATTAAAAATACAAAAATCCTTAAAAATAAATCATAACAATTTCTAAACATATTGCATCAAAAACTATTTTATAGAAATACATGATGCACGTAAATCCCTGATTAAAATGTATAGAAAATGGAAAAGAAGTATATCTATATTAACGACTGAAAAATTAATGTGAACAAAAAAATTTATCATTCATTTAAAAAAAAATTAGAAGGCAAAATAAATTTTGTTGCTTTATACCCAACCTAAACTGCAATTGTACAAAATAATTTTGATAAAAATAATGTAAACTTAACTATTTATTAAGAAGAAGAAGAAAAAAATCTGAATTTTTTTTTAAACAGCTTTTTATGCCTTATTAGTATATTATTAGAATCATGCCTGATTAGCATTTCCCTTTAATACTATATCTACATTAAGATTCAAAAAAATATTTACAATATTAAAATAAAATGTGGTGTGTTTAAACGTCAAATAACATGATGGTTTTGGCGATTTCCAAAACCATCATGTTATTTGACGAAAAAAGTCCACTTTTAAGAATTATTTTTTACAAACATATAAATATAATTATAAAAAAAGCTATATTAAATTATTTCTTTGTACCTTCTTAGTTAGCTTTCTGAAAAAAACCAGAGAGAGTTATATCAAATAAAGAGTACAGTAATTTACACACAAAGTATTAATGTAATTTTGCTAAAAGGAAACTTATTAACACAGCAATAGATAGTAAATTTTAATACTATGGAGATCAAGAAACTTTAAACCTTTAAATAACCTGATATTAAAATGCTTAAAAAAATTTTAATTAGTTTTTTCTGTTTAAAAAAATTTGTTTGCTTTAGACCAATACCTTTTTTAAAAAAAAAACCAGCTGATTTAAATCAACAAACTCTGATAAGAACAAAAGTAGTTTACTATACTATAAGTATCAAAAAACGATGAATTAGATTGGTAGGTACTTGAAGAAAAGTATGGAAAAAAAAAATTTTCAATTCAATCTGGTTCTTAGTACTAATAAGTAAAATGATTCAGATTTAAATTTTTAGATGTGTCGAAATGATTCCATTTATTTCTATCATTATTACTATAATATTATATTTAAACTATTGATCCCAAAGTTAGAAGTTGTAATAAAAAGAGAATTTAGCAACAGTTAAAAGGCAACAGTAAAAAATTTATTTCAGAAAAAAAAAAGTTTTTTTTTTATTAATTATCATATTTCTTTTTTTAAAAAAATTTCTCATACCTCATATTTCTTTTAAAAAAATTTTTTTGCTTAAGATCAATGCCCTTTAAAAAAACAGTTTGTTTAAATCAATGAGCTCTGATTCGAAAAGAAATAAATAGTTTCCAATATATATAATAAAAAAACTATAGGAACACTTTAAAAGAATTGGTATTTAAAGAAAGCATTGCAAAAAATGAATTTAAACTTGAATCTGGTTGTTAGTAACTAGTAAACAAAAAACAGCAGATTTAAATTTTTTGATGTGTCGCAGTGATGCCATTTTTTTTAATTATTATTATTATATTCTATATTATTGTTCTCAAAGTTTGAAATTGCAATAAAAAGACAATTTATGAGGAGTTAAACGTAACAATTCAGAAGTAGGTAATTTTAGGGGGAGAAGTATTTATTTTCTCATTCATTTTAAAATTATTCATATCTCTTAAGTTCAATAAAATATTATGTTTTCGAAATTTTATCAAGTTTTCTATCATTCAGATTTTAACAGCAAAATTTCGAATTAACAATGTTTTACAAAAAAAATACTTTGATATAAGAAGAGAATTTTAGATACATAAAACTGTGGAATTCTGAAAAAAAAAAAACTAAATTAACCTAATAAAAAACCTATCTTCACTTTTATTGATATATCCACCTGAAAGGAATCACAGACTAGCCCAGTTTCACAAAAATTTTATAACTCAGAAATATAATTCTTTAATAACAAGAATATGCTTAAATCAACACTAATATGCTAAAATAAACACTTCAATTTTATATTTGAAATATCTATATTTCAAACATAAAATTGAAGGGAAATGTAGAAAATGCCTTTAAAATGCTTCGCAATTACTAATTCATGTAATTAAAAAAATCTGAATGGTATCCGTACACCAGCAAGTTAACTCAGTATAAAACCTATCTTCATTTTTAGTGATATACCCAGCTTAAATGGATTGCAGACTAACCCAGCTTCACAAATTTCAGAACTCATACCTACTCCATTAATAACAAGAATATGTTTCGATCACAACTATATTTCAGATCTTTTAAATAAATGAAGAGAATGTCATTAAAAGACTTCACAAATACTACATTCATAAAATTAAATAAAATTCTGAGAGGTATGACCATAATAGATTTTAAATTGATACAATACAAACAACATGTATTAAAAATCAAAGCATCCGAACGGATATTTTTATCACAATCCCACACTAATAAATAAATAAATAATGTTCTTAAATAATAATAGTAATAATGATGATGGTAAATAGAAAAAAAATGTTTTTCATGATTTATATTCAAGTAATGAGTAACATTAGCTTCATGTCAAATTTGAGTTTTAAACAAATATAATGCTTCGCATAGCAAATAAAAATAAATTGCAGTTTTAACAGAATGTGAAGGTTATGTAATCGTTAACAGTAATTCTCAATTGTAACGGTGACTCAATAATAAAACGAGCTGATTTCATACCTTTCTCTGAATCAACATCATATCCTTAATCTTCCAAATATTATGCAAACACTGAAAGAGTCCAAACAATTTAATTTTCATATAAAAATATGTTTTATTGATTATAATGTGCGATGAAAAAAATCGATAAACTAACATACATGATTTAAACTACAATTTGGCAGTTGTTTTCATCCAGTGACACTTTCGCTTCTGTAGTTTCGGCTTTGGAAGAGTTAGTCATTAGATTTAAATAAACGTTTCCAGCTAACCAATTCTACCCATTGAGAATTCCTTTAAGAAGGCTAAGCAGACTGCCAGTTATTTTTTATTTATTTTTTTTCCGGATGCAAAAACCAAATTGGCGAATTTATCACAGATTAATCAAATTTTCGATCACATAAAAAAAATTTTCCATGCGAAAAAATTACATCATGTTTGAATTCTGCTTATCCCTTAAATTTTTACTTTAATGGGCCATTTTGCATGCGATTTTTCGCATTGCCGAAGAACCGTTAGTTATAGGAGAACATGATTGGTGAGATATATTTTCCCGCAGAAAACTCACCAATCACGGGTTTCTTTTTTCTCTCAAGGATGAAGTGCGCAGTAGCATTAGGTGAAAATGCTCCGAAGTGAAAATAACGAGGATCACAATATGCGATTCACGCACTCCTATCACCGTTGAGAGAGAATGAGAACCTGATTGGTGAAGTATCCCTAAAGACTGACCAATCAATCAGTTTCTCCTTTTCGCTCAAAGTCGTTAGCATGTGCATGAATCGCATACAGTGTGAATGACTTACTACATTTACTTTATTTGGCATTTCTAAATGCCAGATAAAGTAAGAGAATAGATAGAAATAGAATAAATAGAAATTCTTTACTTGGTAAAAAAAAATTATTCTGCCATTCATTTTTTTTGCATTGTCCTTTTTTGTGTGGGAGAGAATGTGAAGAAGGGTGATCAACATCGCCGTGTCATTTTCTTAGTTTTTTACCAGGAATTTTCTCTTTATCCCTATTATTTTCCTTAAAATTATTTTATTTATTTATTTGTTTATGCATTAGCTTATTCTTTCTGATTTGAGGTTAAATGATTTGCTTATACAACACCTATGAAAAAAAGAATTAAATAAATACATAAGTGAACGATATCAACACAATAGATTTTAAATTGATAAAAATTCAACATGCATATACAGACAGAATCTAACTTCAATAGTAATAAAACTAATGAGCAGAAAATATAATAAATATTTTGAGAAAATATCTAATTAAAATAATAAAAATAAGAGATATGGTGGATAGGGTAGTACGCAGTTCAAAATATGTTTTAAATACTCTAAATAGTTAACAAAGGGATTCTGTACATATTTCTATGAGCTCATTATACTTTCATATTCTTAAAAATGCAATTATATTTTAAGAAAACAAACATTAACTTTTTCTCAAAATCAGAAAAAAATTTATTTTCTTAAAATTTATCTTATTCCTTAATATTATTATAAATAATTTTTCTTAAAATTAAAAAAAAAGCATTTCTTATACCAACTTCCTTGTCTTTCCCCAAGTATATGGGATAGGACAAAGTAAACATATAAAAATTAGTCCGACAAAATATGTTTGCTTAGTAATTATTCGCGATCGCAACACTCGAATACGCCATCTGGGGAGAGACCGGTTTCATGCATTTAGCCCTTCTCCCTTCCCTCTCCTCCTCTTTTCAGTTGTATAGGAATGTACTACGATATTTTCCCTTTTCTTAATATTTTTCCTTTTCATTTAATAAGAATATTTTTTAAAATTTCCATAATACTTTTCTTTAGAACTATGTTTAATGTAGTTTTCAGTTCCATATAGTTTTTCAAGTTAAAAGATTTCAATCTGTATGAAAATCAAGAGAGAAACTAACGTACTTCCTTCCTCTATGACTTTCCACACGCTAATGGGGAAAGCATGTGAAGTGTTGCCATAGGAAAAGAGTTCTGCTCTACGCCACCTGCAGCCCGTTTCGATCGCCAATGCAGTTTTAAGTGCTAAGGGGTAGATTTTAAATAGTCCTTCAGATCGAGGTTGCAATGCAGTACGGGTAAATTACTACTAATGTGTAAAAAGTGGTTCTACATTTATTTTGAACCAAGTCTAAACTAAATTATCATTTTCTTCTCTTAGTCACCATTTGAAGTTTTAAAAAAAATACAGCTGATTCATTGCAAATATAATTATAGACCCTGAAAGGGGATATTTCCCCATCGCGATCGCAACACTCGAATACGCCATCTGGGGAGAGACCGGTTTCATGCCTTTAGCCAAGGCCGGATTAACCATTAAGCACACTAAGCACGTGCTTAGGGCACCCGAGGATAGGGGGGCACCACAAAGTCTAACTAAATGTTCGAAGTACATAATTTTTTTCTTCGAAACATTACTTATAAATTTATTATTTTGAACTTCCATTTTAATAGTAGATAACAAGCATTTCTAAGAACGAAATTTTACATAATAAAAGAGAAAAAAAAGCGAAAGATGTTATATATCAAAATTTTTTGGTCTTATAATGAAATTAGGTAGTGAATTTCTATGCGATAAAAGCTCTATTTATTTATCCATTACAATGATTCTATAAAATACTGCTTCGATTCATGTTTACAGAATATTTTTCGCAGTTATAACAAAGTTAATACTTCAGCAATTTGATTTTTTTATGTAAAAAAATTTGATTTACAAAATGTTGATGCAATGATTTGATGATGTAAAAAAATGTGATTTCTGATGTGAAGAAAAACTGTGTTATGCATATTTTTGTTTTTATGTGCTGCAAATTTTTTAAAAATATTTTGCTTTTACTATATTTTTATTATATTTTCATTGCAACTGGAAAATGAAGTAATCAAATTACGTAAAGGTTGCGTTGCAAAAATTTATTTCAAAATTTTACGTCAAATATTTTTTTTTATTCACTAAATTAAGAAAAAGGAACTGTGTAAGTATCATTTTTCGAAATTTCTTTGTGCAGGAGAGGTTGAATTTGGGAAAATATGACCACACACTTCGCATCACTTATGATTTTTTTTATCTAAAAATGAAAAATTTTTTATGATTTTTTTTATCTTAATCGAATATTGAAATTAGATTTTAAGATTTAAAATATATACTATGTAATATGAACGCAAGCAGCTAGTCTTTTAATAAGGTAAGAATTAGATGTTCCTAAGTCCTTAGAGTCTTGTATAAATACAAATGTTATAAAAGTTGAGCACAAAAGATGCGTAAATTCACATTGTGAACCGGATGTTCGTTGACTGTGAAAAATTCGTTAAAAAGAGTACCCATTAAAACTGATTTAATTTTAAAAGCAAATGTAAGAAATAAGTAGTAATAAAATTACATTTTCAATCATTGAATTGGGTTTAGTGCAAGTAAACTATAATTTGTACATCTTATAACGAAATTTGTATAAATATAATTAGGAACTAAGAAAAGTACCGAAAATTTCAAATTAAAAATAAATAGTAAATTTAGGAAAGATATTTTTATTAATTGAATTTAAAAATATGTTTAATAACTAGTAAAGGAATTCCTTAATGATAATGATTAAAGTTTGAGACAATCAAAATTATTATTGAGAATATATATATGTAATTCCATCAACTTTTATTAAGATGATAATTTGAATATGTAAATATTTTGAAAATAGTAATAATATTATTTCTGTCACTAAAAATAAATTTAATAGTTGTGCTTAATTTTTACTTGTAGCTCGTGTGTATATCAAATTGAAATAAATAAATAATTAATTCATGTATTTCCATTGTCCATTTAACTTTTTCTTAAAATAAAAATTGGTCATTCTGTATAAACGAGTGGGAAAAATATTGTTGTTCCTGTTATATTATTATAAGCACCAGACTGCTGGGAAACGTGGTCCAATTTAACCTGATCTTGCTTTCTGCGTGTAATAACAATCCCGCCGTATAACAACAAAAGATGCATATTGCCAGCATTCGATTATATGAATTCAAAGGCTCCTCAAAAGGACCACCATGATTGTCACCAACATATGTGTTAGAATACAAAGCTAAATTTTCTGAGAAGAACCAGTTTAAGGTCAAGACAAGTGCAACCAATTGATTTATCACAGACAGAGAACATCCTTTCATCTCAGATGTCTTTAAGCATCCTATAGGTGACTCATTCACAAAAGGGTCCGTATCTCAGAAAATTCAAATTGTCGTCTTTTCAAAGGGGGGGGGGGTACAGATACAAATAAATTGTGACTTAAGATTGAAGAAAGTGGGAGGTCTAGAAAAAGAAAAGTTTCTTGATTGACATAATTTTAAACCAATAACATTATTTAAGCTACAATCCGTAACTAATTTCCCGTATTTACACACCCCCGTATACACACAAATTAAACATTTTGGTAAACACTTTACACTTAGCTTACAGTATTTTGTTTCAACTTGGTTCGTGTTTAGATTATTTTACTTTTTTCGCCTTGTTTACTTTTTATTTAACTTTATCGAATATTTTACTATTTGATTTTTGTGACTACTTTAAAAGAAAAGTTTCGGGCAACGGTCATATAAAGAGGAACAAGACTCGTGCAGAAATTTTAGATTTGACGTAAGTAACCATATATTCTATTTAAATTGGTTCCTTTTCCCCAATGTTTATTGAAAATGAAAATGTTTTTATGAACAATACTTGAGGAATCTTCCATTTCATTGGGCAAATAATTTTAATTATTAAAATTCGAACAAGTTTTTAAAGGCAGATTAATGAAATATAAGTTTAATTTTGTTCAAACGAAATCACTAATTTGTTTTTAAGAACAGCTAAAGTCAGGTGTTTGATAAATAGACTTGTTAACTTTGATGTACCTCCACTAACTATGATGTAACTCCACTTAGAAAATATTTATTTTCAAAATTTTTCTTTTATCATCTTTGCCTGTACCGAAATTTTAAATTCAAAAGTTCTTTTTCTTCCTTTTTGTGTTAAAATGTGTACTAAGATCCAGTAGAAGGTATTTCAAAGTTGGTTATTTTAACATATAATGTATCATTTAACATTTAATATATCATATGTAAAATAACTAGCAATCTTTTCTTAAAAACTTAAAAGTTTATTTGCAAAATTTCATAATTTTAATATTTAAAATAGTTAATATTTCAATAGGCTATTGAAATTGTAGTATCTATAATTTTCACTTATTTTAACAAAGCCATTTCTTGTAAATAAAAATTATAAGGAACAGATAAAACTATTCTTTGTGACTCTAAAAATTATTATGACATTTTTACAGAAATATGAAAAGAAAAATAAATTTCATAAAAGGAAAAAAAGAAAATGGTA